GTAACTGACGATGATATATTGATGATTTTGTGTGTGGAACATGCAGCATAAATTACAACAGCTCACCCTGATTTGCTTGTGGGTGCCTTACAGCTGTGTCAAAAGTCATTGTCATTTTGTGCCAGTGTGCCATTGGGCAAGACTTCGTCATGTGCAGGGTCATTGTTAAAGTTTCCACACATCCCTGTGACTCTGTTTTCTTGGTTTTAGCCCACTCGGACTAGTAAAGTACTCAAGCCATTAAACTGGATTATCACATCGATGGCATTGACCACTATGTAGCTTCCCTGCCTTCCAACCTGAGCTAAAATTCCTGCAGTGGTGGGAAGAGACACTTCACTTCCATTTACCTGAGGGAGGAGTGATTAGAGAAAGATGTTTAACCCAGACAGATGTATGAAGTTATATAAAATAAAGTAATGGTGTTTACCGTTACTCTTGATAAAGAAATATAATATAATACGATGATAAAGAAATATTTCATTATGGCTATTAGTCTTGCAATCAGGATAAACAGTGTATTCTTTATCTTACACATACTATGTCATGTTAAAACCAATTAACAGAAGTTCTTTCATCCATCTTTTATTTAAAAGGTTACTCTCGACAATGACAATCAATACAGAGTGAGGTAACGTGCAACAGGGAAATTCCACAGTGAATGATGGCGTGGCAGATAAGGAAGCATTAGTTATGTCCTGATCTGTTCTCAACAATCGGTATTGGTGCCGATCAAGGCATTTTTGAACTGATCGGTATCGGCTATGTTGAGCTTTACTGAACTCAACTCTCTCTGTGTTGTTATTCCACTCTGAGCTCTGTGTCAGTGTGAGAGCAGAGGCACCATATTAACCATATTAAAGTACAAAGATGACTCTGTTGTTAAACTGCTCCAGGACAATGAGACCACCCACGGCCCCGTCATCAGCAACTTTGCCAAATGGTATGAGGATCTTCAATTGAACATATCAAAAACCACAGAATTGATTTTGGAAGATTTTGTGCACACATGGAGTCACGTCCCTCAAGAGTCAGACAGTGAAATGTGTGCAATCTTACAAATAGATACAAAGAAATTAACAACAAACCACACCTATATAAAAACAATTAAATCAGCACTAGTAAATCTTGAAGTAACCTTACAGGTTTGACAGGAGTGGTCCAGTAACGTGACAATATGCAAGACTTCTCTCTCTCTTTGAGTGAAGCTTATTGACTGTCAGATAAATAGAATTATACTAATGCATTTTATTTGGTGGTGCCTTTCATGGCACTTGAGGTCACCTTACATCCTTTAAAACAGCAATAAAACAACAGAGTAATACAACATTACTTTGTTGTTGATTGCATGAGATTAGTTGATTAACATGAAATATTGTGAGGATAAGAGGCTCACAGAATAAGTTATACTGTTTAGTTCACCACCCATATATATTATTTCATATTAACTCATTGCATTACAGCAGTTAATGTTTATTAAAATATGTATTGTTTTATGTTGTTAAAGGGGCACTGTGCTCCAGTTTCCTGCACTCAGGCATTGTAGTAGAAAAATGTTGTTGCTCCCTTTGTCCACAATAGGGAGTATATCCTTAAATGAGCGCTTCTTTCAGGATAAACAGAGTCCAAGCACATACATTGTATAGTAGTGCTAACAGAAAACGTTGGACAGAAACGTGTATATGTACGCAGTGTGTGTATTTTGCAGTGCCAGTAAAAGAGTCTTTATTCATGTGTGCAACAATATACTGGCAGTACCAGGTTTTTCACCTTTTGCAATGCCAGAAATTATTCCCTTGGCAAACTTGTAAAAACCAAACAGGATGAAATCATAATTACATCTTAATAACCCCCACCCCAATAAAGATTTGATGATTATACAGACTTTTCTCATCATGGCTTAGTCTTGCCAGTAGGGCTCTCTTACTTTTGAAAAAGATTAACAGCAATTATTTCATCAATTTTGTATGATTTATTTAAATGGTTAATCTCAACCATGACAATCAATACAGAAAGTGAGGAGTGAAGCAGTGAGAGGCATGTTAAATATTTTAAGGCTTAAAATCTTCCACGTAAAACAATCATGTACCGTACAGATTACCGTTTCACTTAGTTCTTAAAATCTATGTTATAACTATGCAGAGGAAAAAACTATTCAAGAGAAAAGCTATTTTCTAAATAAAGAGTGACATGATAAATCTAAGGTCCTTTAATAATGATATTATAGTTGGTTATACATTCATCTGTTTACTGTACGTGAGGTCATCTTTAATATTCGAAGAGCTGTTGTGGTCAGCAACATGACAAGCAAGGTCATCCAGCAGGTATCATCATTTTTTCTGCAAGAGAGCAACCAAAATATAATCATATATAAACATAAATATATAATTGCCAATAATATCGATGTTATGAAAAAATATAAACATGTACATACCGAGTATGTACTCGGCATGGCATTCAGAGGTCCAAGTGAGAGCGTTATAGGGTCATGGTAGTATACATCTCTGTAAACTCTGTGGTGACCGGGGTTGCAATACTGCAAGAACAACATTGCAGGGTTTTATTGATGGATTCATTGTGACTTACAGATAGCAATTAAGGGCTCTGCAGCACAAAGCCAGAGACAAAGCAGCTGAGCAATCACACTTTGTGCTTTTGGAGTACAGAATTGTTTTTACCAGTCACACACAGACACAATGCGTCTTCAGTTCAGGGAATTGCAGGTTATATGACTCAAACTGACCACAGATATGAATGTGATTATGAAAGTGATTCTAAATGTATCTGTAAATGTATCTCTAAATGTATGTGTATGAGTCCTGTACTCCCTGCGTTAGCCTTGTGATAGACTGGTGGCCTAGCTTTGCAGAGGAAGAGCAGTAATGTCAGCAGTAACAGTAGAAATGTCCTGCAGAGAAACTTTTCTTTTTAGTAAATTACAGAGCCTGTACTTCTAGTTTTACTGGAGCCTTGTATCTGTATCTGTACTTCTAGTTCAGTAAAGAATGTGTGTACTTTTGCCATCTCTGCTACTTAGTCTAATGTGTCACCTACTTACTTAATTGTCTCACTGAGGAAAGAATAAATAGGGGAGATTATAGAGGAGTGAGAGGAAGAATGGATAATGGTACATACAGCTGCGCAGTTGTTGTGTCTCAAAAGACACAGGTGGACCTGGCAGTGCAGGTAGATGGATGAAAAGTTGGTAAAGGTGAACATCCTGAATGAGAATCGGGCCACAGTGGAGATGCCGTTCTGAACCAGCTCTACTGTACCATCTGCTGGATTAGGACAACTGGAAAACAGGGAGAAGTTACTATGTTAGTAGGGTAACAGCGTTGTAGAAGAAAAGATGAGTGAAGCAGGTGGGGAGAGGCAAGAATCTCGCTAGAATTAAATTTATCCATTCTTTAGTGTAATAACACAAAGTGAAATTGCATTAGCTCCTTTACTTATTCTTAATGAGATCCAGGCGGACAGGGTAGCTGGCACTGTTGACTGGCGTGGCCCAACAACAGTCCAGAATGGTGGAGATCTGCTGTTCATCAACTCCTTCAGCCCGCACCTCCACATACAACCTCTGGTCGATTTCCATTTCTATGTTCCTGTTTCCAGTCAGGGGGACGAGGAAGCCAGCGTCCTGGTAGGGGATTATTCTAAAATGATAGTGACCCTGGCCCGATGTGAGCTTCTTCTTCACAATGCTGTGAAAACACAACACATAATATGACTAAACTTGAGAACAATTTATTGTTTTCTAATTAATAGAAAATGTTCAAGTAGACTGCTGGAAAAAATCTCATAGGGCTTGACATAGAAAATCACATATGTTCACACACATAACATTTCGAGCACATAAACATAATACTGTCGTTTGATGAAATTTAACCACTGGTGAAAATCTAGGTGAAAATTTAGCATTGTGTAATATATCTATAGGGATATGTGTAATGATTTAAAGCTTGCAAACATGAGATCGATCTCCACAGTATATGTTCTTGTAAAAATGCTCAGCATTTCTTTGGAGATACTATTGTGACAATTACTGTACCTCTCTACAGGATTGATGCCTAGATCCATAGACAGGGCCTGAGTCAGAGGGTATTCACAGCAGAAAACCAGCTCAATGTCTGTGTCTCCATTGCTCTGGATGGAGTTCTCATAGATAAAGTGGGTCCCATTGCTCTTTAAGATTTAGATGATTAAAGAAGTATAATTAGTATATTACAGATGCAATCCATCCTGTGTTGAACATTTACATCTAAAATCTGTCTGTATTGATAACGTTGTAGGCTATGGACTGTACCCTGAGAACTGTCCCACATAGCTGGTCATCGTTGTTAAATTGGAACACTATTCTTCCGTCTTGGAGAGTCCCCTTACAGGAGCCATCTCGGAGATGAAGGGCAGTAGGATGGAAGCCAGCTTCAAACAGCTGACAGCGTGACAGGGATAGTTTGCCTGAACTACTGACACAAGTGATGGACGAGTCTAGGAAAAAAAATGACAATAGATTTTGGTATACCAGAACTCCAGACTGGATTAATAAAAGGCTTTTGAATACCTTTATATTGCCATAAAGACACATTATGTTCCATTTGTTTTAACAAAAATCTCACAAATAACATTATTATTAGTGTTTTCTGTGAAGACAAGAGGAGCTCGCACCGTAACTCTCGTTGTTGGGCCGAGAATAGTGTTCATCACAGTAGCAGCCGTAAACACCGTCTTTCTCACCGCACCACTCATACTCTGTGCAGTTCAGTTGTTCACAGGGGTCTGGCTCAGCTGCAGAAGCAGTGGGGAAAAAATGAGACAAGGAATGATAAAATAATAGGTAACAGAAGAAAAAAGAAAACAGAATTATATTTTTTCTCATGTATTATCTTGGCATGGTCTGTTAGCCCAGTGCAAACATACCACAAGCAGAGCGCCATTCAGAGATGTTCAACCCCAATACAGAACAGGTTCTCTCATAGGCTGAGACAGCAGAGCACAGCATGCCCATTGGCTGGGAGTGTAGAGGGAGAGAGATCATAGACACAGGAACTGAAAAATGGCTGGGGGTCAGAGTGAAGGTGACAGGCACTGAATGGGCCGCTAGCATTGGTGATAACACTACAGAGCTCAGAGTATTTTTCCATGAAGGCACAGTCATTAGGTCCATCACCACTTTCATCATCTGTAGATCCACATCTGGAAGAGACATTCATTTTATTGTGAAACCCTCAAACCTTTTACTGGTTTCCATGTTAAAATATATATATGTTACTTTGTGGTTTGAGGTATTTCTGAACGACTGCGATTAAAGACATTTTTAAATGGAGTTAACAAGTAAGATTCCCAAATTAAACAAATTATCATGCATTTTGTATTCAAAATTATAGTTTATGTGTTGTAATTACCCTG